AAAAGTTGGAAATACTGTCAAATACACATGAATATGGGTATTTTGGGATTCGCGGTGGTAACTACGGATTAGCAATTACTGTCCGATGCTATATTGAATTCCAAGATGGCAGCTTCTGGTTGCAGATAAACTGAATAGTAAAGGGTGATACGGTCAAAATTTGGTCAAGGGAAAACGCGTGTAAATCGGTGAAATCGTTTATTTAAAAAATTAAATTAAATTTCTTTTTCAAGTTCAATTAGTATAAAATTCAGGAAAAATATTCAGTTAGGCTTCCGCTTTTCCAAATCCGAATTGCCGGGCCTTACGCTTGACCCCTGCCATCAGATTTTGTACAGCCACCTTGTCCACCTTCTTCGCCGCAGAAAGCCAGTTTACCTTGAACTGCTGCTCGCCCTTAGCAGTTTTTTTGGTCTTCTTTAGGTTCCGCTTGACAATAGCCCAGCATTTCTCAATTGGGCGGAGCTCTGGCGTGCTGGGAGGGTTCTTGTCCTTGGGAACCACCTGCACGTTGTTGGCGGCGTACCACTCCATGGCCTTTTTACCGTAATGGCAAGATGCCAAATCCGGCCAAAACAGTACGGAACAACCGTGTTTCTTCAGGAAAGGCAGCAGACGTTTATTCAAACACTCTTTCACGTAAATTTCTTGGTTGACAGTCCCGGAAGCTATGAAAATGCTGCTTTTCAAGCCACATGTACAGATGGCTTGCCAAACCAGATATTTCTTTGCGAACTTTGACAGTTTCATGTGCTTGAAAACATCTGCTACCTTTTCCCTTCCTTTTGCCGTATAAAACTCCTGTCCCGGAAGCTGCTTGTGTCGGCTTTGACGTAGGTTTCGTCGTCCATTACCACGCAGTCAAACTTCGTCAGCATCGTCGTGTACAGCCTCCGGGATCGCGCTTTGGCCGTCGTATTTTGTTTATCATCGCGATTTGGAGTCACTACCTTCTTGTAAGTCGATAGTCCGGCTCGTTTTTTGGCTCGATGCACGGTTGTAGACGATACACCCAGCTTATTTGCGGAGAGAGAGGTTAGGGTTTCGCTTGAAACTACCGGCAACTCTCTTTGTCGTCTCAGCGGCTTCCGGTTTTCGATTTCCCCCCGATCCAGACTTCCTGGCTGTCGACAAACGTTCCCCAAACACTTTAATTACATTTGTAACGGTTGATTTGGCAACTTTTAGCGATTTTGCCAACTTTGCGTGCGAGTAGCTCGGATTTTCGCGATGCGCGAGCAAAATTTTGATACGCTGCTCTTCTTGATTGGACGGCATTTTGACAACTGAAGAGTGAATTCCAAAATCAAAATAGGAGCAACATTCTACACACACACACCTTCAAAATGAGGGGTGTTCAGGTTTTTTAAATGCAAAATTGAAAGAAATACGTCAAGTTGATATTGACCAAATTTTGACCGTATCACCCTTTATGTGTGGCAAAAGGTATGATCATTAACTTGAAATTTAAGTTGAATAACAGCTAACGGAAGAGTATTATACAGCAATGCAGAATTATAAACAGCAGCTGGTGACAGTAAAACATTCTTCTCATTTTCAAGTGTAGTTAACACATCCCAGGTAACAATTTGATGCTTAACAAGTGTCGTTCATTATATTTTAATTCAGCCTTAGTTTGAATAATTGTTGTTCATAGACCACGTTAACCTTTGTTCAGCTTTTAAACATCTAAATCTGATGATTTTAATCAGTCGAAAGCTATATTTTTGGAATTCTGTCTGAAAGTTCAGTGCAATATAGCAGTCAGAACACAGAAATACAAATATTAATACTTCCGACGTCGTCGCAGCCCACTTCTACCTGGAGATATTCCTAAAAAGCTCCTCTAACTTGTCTCTACTGCTGCTGCTGTTTGGGATTAGAAAGGTAGGCAGTGAATTTAGAAGAATCAAAATGCTGGAAATGCAACGAGTAACACGGACTACATTTAAAAAATCAGGCTATCAAAATATGTGTAGTGCATTGATGATTTGTGGAGTAAGGTTTGGCTAAAATAAGGCTTGTTTAATCTTTAGATCAGCTAATTTATTGAGGTTGAATTATGTTGATACAATTAGCTTCATGCACTTCTAATCAACTTTATATTCAGCCTGCTGTTAATCAGCTTTGTACTCCTTAAATCAACCAATAATCAGCTTCTGTTCTAACTGTTCAGCTTGAATTGTTACTTGGGAATGTGGACACAAGTCGCGATTTATTTCGATGGTCATGTGGAAGCTATGTTAGTGCCATAATTGAGTTATATTTTGGGAATGCTGTCTGAAAATTCAATGCAATATAGCAGTCAAAATACAGAAAGTTACAAATTTTAATACTTCCGACGTCGTTGCAGCCCACTTCTACCTGTAGCTATTCCAAAAAAGCTCCTCTACCTTGTCTCTACTGCTACCGCTGCTTGGAATTAGAAAGGTAGGCAGTGAATTTAGAAGAACTAAAATTTCGGAAATGCAACGAGTGACATGGACTACATTCAACAAATCAGGCTATCAAAATATTTGTAGTGCATTGCTGATTTGTGGAGTAGTGTTGCTTGTTCAATCTTCAGATCAGCAAACTTTTTGAGTTTGAATTACGGGGATACAATTAGCTTCATGCACTACTAATCAACTTTATATTCAGCCTGCTGCTAATCAGCTGTGTGCACCTTAAATCAACCAATAATCAGCTTCAGTTCTTATTATTCAGCTTAAATTGTTACTTGGGTTACTGGTATAGTCGAAAGCGTAGATAGAACACGAAATAAAGAAGACATAAAACCATTACATTGCCTGCAAGGTTAACTTCTAACATCCGCTTCGATGTTCATGAACAGAGGATGATAGCAAATAGAACTAACATTCATTGTAATAAATTTTTGGTTTGCGTGCAGAGTAAGCTACTCTTGGATTTTTGTCCAAAAATGATTTTCTATTTGAAACTGTTTTTAAATTCTGATTCCCCTTGAATTTTCATCGGAAATCTCTTGGAATAATTGTCAGGGGATCTTATCTGAATTTTCTTGGAATTGTGGCCAGACATCCTTTGGAATTTCCATTTGAATTCTCCTCAGAGTGCTTTTGAAATTTTGTTCAAAATTTCCTTTGGAACTGCTTTTGGGCTTCTCCTTACAATCCCAGCGGAATTCTCCTAATAATCGCCATATATTTTTACTCATAATACCCTTGGAATTAATCTTTTCTGAATTTTCCGTGTGAAAGTTCTTAAGTGAACTATCCAGAATTGTTAATGAGTTCCCTACAGAAAGCTTTTCGAATTACTCCCATCGAATCAATGGCAATTGGATAGATGCCGCAGAAAAATTGCCAAGTAGAAACTCTTTGAATTCGCTCCATTGGCTTGTCGCCCTTGGTGGGGCCATTTCCAGTCACCCCTCACTACGGCACTGATGTGTCCCAAGTGTTGTACCCAAATGAGTGTTTTAATACAAATTGGCATTTGGTTTGGATACATCAGCTGATATCCGCATATGTGTTGCATGAGGGCCTATAGTGTTTATAGGTTACAAAAATATTTAACTAATGAGTATGCCATTTCTCACGTTAGTTAGTTGAGTAAATGACCGTGACAATTTTAGTTACTTTTTCTAATGTTATTATTTGAATTTATGCCTGCAAGCTTCAGAGGCACGACTTCAGAAGATGTATAAACCTTTCTCTCAAAAATCCTTCAAAATAATGCTACCTCGCTGTGCAGGTGTGAACGGTAGGAGAAAGCCTTTATGCAAATGGTGGTACAACCAAGATTCTCAAGATAACTTTTTGTTTGAGAACTTCACAGCTGCCTGTCATGGAAATACAGCTACGTATGTCGTTAATGAGCGATTAGGTGCTGGGTTGGTATGGTCGTTATGGAAGATGTTCAAGTGATTTTGATTCGTGATTGGGTTATGATGATTTTCCTGCCAGATGCTCTGTATATTTGAAAAAGGCTTTGGACCGATGGACTCGTTTCCACAGGTCAGATGTTAGGGATTCAGGGTAACTGATTGAACATGAATATTCCTAGATCAAATCTAATGCTATTCAGTGTGATTGAAGAGGTTCTGAAAATGTTAATGTTCGTCGGAATTGCTTATCCCGATACGAGTCATCATACCAAATCAACTCACTACTTACTCATTCCGGTGTGGCGGGACACTTTATGGGCATTGTAATACCCATTCTTCTCCATTCAGTCCGAGTGTCGCCCCGCGGAGTGCTTATGCTTTTAGAGTTCACGCTTATGCGAGGGATTCATTTCGTTGTTTTCAGGGTCATACTACCGGCGGGCATAATGAGCAATTTGATGCTATCGCGGATAATACTTTAAGTGCGCTTGCTCGCTTGGTTCCTTTTACCCTAGCAAGGAGCCCGGTCGAAGAACACGACGCAATCGTAAAAAAGTAATCTCGTTTTTGCCCCAGGTTAACACGCTCTCCAAGTTTATCCGTAAAAGAAAAAAAAATATTATCTCCGTGCCTGTTTCGTGTGATGGGCTCTGAGCTGCACTTCTATCCTGAATCTTAATGATAAGGCCACATTGCCGGTCGGCCGTGGCCGGGAATTATTTAGTTTGGGAATCGTAAAGTTTCCTCCCAGCATTAACTGCAATTGGATCATAAAGTTCAATTTCGTGGAAGTTTACCCTCGACGGCTCCTCTAGTGCCAGTGCCAATAGATCACAGCCCAAGAGAAAGAGAATTGTTATATGATGACTCAAGTGGTCTCACGCGAGACCTCTCCTGTTGTAATACATGCAATTTTCGGTCAATTAAAATTACTCAACCTGGCAACTGCCGCGATCTACTCTTCGCCACGGATCATCAATTAGCCGTCAGGTATTCAGACACACACACACACACACATGCGCTCACAGCGCACCCCGATGCCAGCTAATTGCGGTTGTTTCAAACTCCGATATTTTCTATTAGCCCCCATGGCCGAGTCTTAAAATAGTGATTAATTTGTGCCTTTCTTCCATCTCTTTTGCCTCCTTTTCAGATTATGCTTACCTCAGCTTCGCAGTACCTTTTCTCGGCCCTCGATGGCCGGGTCTACTTCGGAGACATTACGGTAATTCTGCCGCCGCACTGGCCTAACTCGTGCATCCCTTACAACCAAACTCGTACCTCGGCCAGCGGAGAGCGCAGCGACGTGACAATTAAAACCCACTCCAAGACCGAGTCCCCCATCTGGACCAAACAGTACGCCGGCTGTGGAGAGCCCGGTGAGCAGATTTTCATCGAATCGGACATTCTCGGTAGGGATACAATTGGGCGGGAGTTTGTTCGGGAATGGGCCAAGTATCGGTATGGAGTGTTCGATGAAATCGGATTCACCAAAGATCCTGTCTATCCACGGTGCTACATCAACGATGACCATGAGCTTAAGCTGACCGGGTGTTCGGACGCCCCGGTTCACGATCGGGGCCTTTGCGGCAATCCTTCTTCGTACAACATCAGTGAAATCATCGATCGGAACGCTCGCTCCAGTATAATGTTCGCCGTCGAATCTCCCAGTGTGACGATGTTCTGCGACGAAGGCACCCACAACCGGTACGCTCCAACCAAGCACAACCAACTGTGCGATCGCCGCAGCACTTTGGACGTCATCCTCAAAAACGCGGACTTCATCATGGAGAACAAGATCAACGTCAACCCGTCAATAATCGTAAACACAGCCCCAAAATTTAACTACAAAACCCGGAAATCCACCCGCTACGTCATCATCATCGACGAAACCCTGGACATGCAACTACGCGAATCGTGGAGCTTCCTTCGTTCGGCCGTTCGAAAATGGGTTGTCTACGACCTCCCGGCCAACACAGAAGTCGGCATGGTCCTCGCCAACGACACCGCCACCGAAAAGATGCTCCAAATCTCGCCCCTCTACATCCAAGAAAACAAAGACCTCGTTGCATCCTTCATCCCGTACTCGCCCAGCGATTCCCGCCAACCGGCTTGTCTAACCTGTGCCGTCTCCGACGCCATCCACATGCTCAACGAACGCACCCGCATGAACGGTCCGGCCAACTCGATCATCCTCGTAATTGCCCCCGGTATGGAATACTCTATCGATCACAGCTCCCTGGCAAACTCTGCCTCCACCTCCCATATCCGCATCAGCTCCATAAACTATCCGAACGTCATCCGTCGGCAGCCTCTGGACTCTCTAGCCCTCGCCACCGGAGGAACCGCCCACTCCGTCTTCGAAAGCAAATACAACCTGGAGAAGAGCTATGTCACCACGTACTTCGAACTGTCCAACACTCTGTTCAACATCGGCAAACAGTACTACGAAGGCAACCGGAACGATCTGCCGATCGAAATTTACCGCAAAGAGCTCGTCGAACTGGACGACAACGACGCCAGCCACATGCTGTCGAAGCGGACCAGCCGTACGGTCGCCGGGAGCTTCACCCTGGACTCGTTCATGGGACCTCCGGCGTACTTTTTCGTGTACGTTCACAACACGGAGAACCCGCTGATTGCGGGCATGAAGCTGACAAGCCCGAGCGGTATCGTTTACTCGTCTAGAAGTGACGCTAGATCATTGGTTAAGCAGTTGATGGTGTCCGCTACGCTCAACGAAACTGGAAGCTGGACGTACAAGATCGATCGGTTCAATGGAAATCCTCAGTCGCACTACGTGCAGGTCATTGCCACGCCTCGGTCCAAGTACGCTCCGACCATTCAGGCTCGATCGTGGATTCGGCAGCGAAGCGGAAGTCCTCCTGTTATCTACGCCGAGGTGAAGAAGGGCGATCTGCCGATTATAGCCGCGAAGGTTGAAGTCACGGTGACGCGGCCCGATGGAATCTGCCCGGCAGGAAGTGGCAACGAATGTCGGCAGAAGATCAAGCTTTTAGATTCTGGATCAGGTGATCCGGACATCACGCGAAACGATGGTATTTATTCGAGGTATTTCAACGCTGATGACTTTGGGGGAGCCGGAGCTTATCAGTTCGAGGTCACCATCACGGATAACGAAAATATGGCATACACGCGGTCGGAGAGTGTGCTGAAGGGTGCTCCGCCGAGATGCTGCGGAAGTTCGATCCGGACGACGTTGATGGCGTCGATGGTTGCGTTCCAAAGAACTCTTCAACCGATAACCGTGTTTCTGTCGCAGGAATTCCTTGACTCGGTTGGTCATCGTCCGATGGGTAAGATCAGTGACCTGACGGTAGACGTCGAAGGAATGAGGGTTCGATTGAACTGGACTACTCCGGACATGGGAGGTCGAGGAATTGCTCGGTACGAAATCAAATACGCTACGTCGATTCGCGATATCGTTGACTACTATGACACGGCAGCTTTTCTGTGGCATCATGATACGCCGCTGATCAACCCGATCGGAGAGGAGAGCTCTTTTACGATGAACCTATCCCATGAATCTCACCTGATTGGGCAGGTTCTATACTTTTCCGTCCGGGCGCATGCGTTAGGAATCATGGGTGGATCCGTTTCGAACTACGTTCGAGTTTTTGTACCGAAACCGAAGCGCGCAACATCCCTGTCTCCATCTACCTCCATCGGAACGGAAAGCTACGAAAATGTGTGGTCGTCCTACGACGAGATCCGAGATGGCCACAATCGACGTGTGAATATCCATCAAAGAATCGCCGACACCATCAGTTTGGAAGTCGAAGTTCTACTGGCGATCATCGCTGGCACTGTATTCTTGATCATCATAATCCTCATTTGCTGCTATTACTACTTCCTAAGAAAACGTAACGTCACACAGGAAGACGACCAAAAACGACCCATCAAACCCTTTCCCACCGAAACAAAGACCTCCCTCGGACACAGCGTATTTGTCACCCCTGGGAACGTGACTTCCTCCTCGTCGAATGCTACCAGTTCAACCTCCGCCTCACCGGATTACGCCCAGCAAACCAACGTCTCCACCAATATTCCCACGATCTACAACTCTAGAACGCTCCCCATCGAACAGAAGCTCATCAACGAACTTAAGCAGCAACAGCAGATGGCCGATACTCAATCCTACATCCTTACTCAGGCGACCGACAACATGCAGTACAATACCACGCTAACCCGAAGCTTTAACCCGGGACCAACGATCAACGACAACCGAACGCTGAGCCCCTTTGAGTCATGGTCCGCTTCGCAACTGCTGCAGGAACACGAACAACACCAACGGCGACGAAGTCCGAGCCTGCTTGACAACTACCTGGATAACGATGTCCAGCAGTTCTACGTAAGCCAACACGATCAAATGTCCCTGCTGAACGGCGGCGGCGTTGGCGTCGTCGGTCACAACCCGCACAACGTTGGCCACAATCCACCGGTGCCTCCGCCACCCATCTACTCGACCGCAAACCCTCCGTATTTCTACGAACAGCACCCACAGCAGCTTCAGCATCAACAGCCACCACCGCAGCAGCAGCAACAGCAGCAGCAGCAACAGCAGCAGCAGTACGTCCACGATGGTATGAACCCTATGACGACACCCCTACACGTTACCATAACGTAATAGACGGGCAGGCACCGTAGCAAATGTGTACCTAAGATGTTAAGCCAGAGAGATGCTTCGCCGAAGTCTACTGCAAAAAGTGCGATTGGTCGATTATTCGGGAGGCTGCCTGTGGAGCATGCGTGGTGGCTGTGAATAGGAGCGATGTTTTAAAGTAGACGAATTCAATAAAAAGAGTTTTGATTGCCAGAAAGACTGATTTCATGCTAAGGGCATTTTTACGGATAAGTTATGAGGTAGGTTAGCCCTGAAACCACCACCACTTCCGTTTGACATGCAGTCTAAACCCATTTCCTTTCGGTCTGTTTATTCCATTCGCAGAGAGTTTGCACCGTGCCGGAATTGATCTCCAACGCGAGCGATTGTGGAACGTTGAACCGGATAGTTTGAGTTTTCCATCGCCCCGTAATAGAATTTTAATTAAATGTGTTCGCAGAAGTCGCGAGATGCGCCCAGCTCAGAACTAAGGAATTTGATTGACGTTGCTAGTCCCTTGATTCAAAGTGTTAAACTGCAAGTTGCTTTGGGTCGTTCGATTTTTGTACATCCAGTAACTGAAGCCGCATGCAGAGGGGAGGGAGGGAGGTAGTGGGGGAGGGGTAATTTCGAACGTTAGATGAATAAGATGATATATTGTACATATAGAAGATTGTAATAAATAAAGACAAATGCTATAAATCGTACGTCGGCTGTTCGAGTTGGTGGTTAGTACTTCGAAAATTCCGTCTTCATTGGTTTTATATATGTTTTTTCGCTGGAGATACTAAGGTTCGTTTGTCTGTTGGATTGAAATCGTGAGGAGCGCAAATGGATTTATCAGAAGGTAAGAATGATAGACGACACGCATAATTTGTGAGACATTAATATAAGTAGTAGAGGAGGACTAGAAAACCAACCGGTGCACACATGTGTGGTACGGTTCTACAAATTGCAACACGTATTTACGAGTAGTTCAATCCTGTTTGCCATGCACACGGTAAACGAAACTGAAACCAAACCGGGTCTTGGTTTCAAAACAACAACCGAATCCATCAGCATCAATCAGTTTAGGTTCGGGTTTATAGAAAATCGTCAAGCGACGACGAAGCTGTCAACCTTCACTTTCAATTGAAAGTCATTCTGTCTTTTCTTCAAGCAGATCCTCTTCATCATCAACAGAACCAATTTCGATCAGTTTTCATGCTGTTTGGCTTGACTCGGGTTCAATTCGCCTTTCATTGTCAAATGAAGCTGTACGATCCGAATTCGCGCGGTTGTTCTGACTTTTGTTGAATGTTTACACGGTTCATTTAAGCGCATGCGCAAAGATCTGTGCTCGTGGATGTCAAATTTATCAGTAGTTTTTTTTAAACCCATCAATCTGGGTGTTTTTTAAATCGGGGTGACGTCTAGATGCCGACAATCGACGACACTATTTTAAAATCCAGGATGGCAGCATCATATTTCAGAAATAGTGGGAAATACTGATGCCGACGCCATTTTAAAGTCCAAGATGGCGACTACCTAATGTCAAATAACCATCATTCAAATATTTTTTTAATCGGGATGCCGTCTACAGGCTGAACATCAATATCCGACGCCATATTGAAATCCAAGATGGCAGCTTCCGATTTCAGAAAAAGTGGGAAATACTTATGCCGACCCGTAAACATTGATATTTTTGGAATCGGGGTGTCGTCTAGAGATTTGAAATAAATATGTGACGCTATTTTGAAATCCAAGATGGGGACTTCCGGTTTAAGAAAATGTGGGAAATACTGTCAAATGCCCATCAATATGGGTATTTTTGGAATCTTGATAATGTCTAGAGAATGAAAAAGATGGCGGCTTCCGATTTCAGGAAAAGTGGGAAATACTGATATTTTCTGGAATCGGCATGTCGTCTAGAGACCGGATTTTGATGTCCGACGCCATTTTGAAATCCAAGATGGTAGCTTCATTTTCAAGAAACACTACAAGGGACAGCCTTATGGGGTTTGTACGCAATGGTGACATAGGACTACGTGGTCTTATATAATAAATATTATTTGTTAACTGCAGCAGGAGCTTGTGTTTGGTGTAGGAATAGGAATTTGAGCGGAGTTCTTTCTGTTTAGTTTGACGCGCTTGACATAGATGGCCCACAGCGACTCACGAAGAGCTGCTGATTCCGATCAATAGCGGTGCGGCTTCTTCCTCCTTCTATGGATGCTCATGTGAGCTGCAGCTCGCTGCTTGCAGGCAGCCTTTCGTTGTGTACTGGAGAACAATGTTCAACGCCACGTGGCGAAAGCACTGCTTCTGGCGACGACCGGACACCACCACACACGGTGATTGGAACTGAATCCGATCAGCCTTGATAGCTAGCTGCTTGCGGGGAGCTTTTTGTTGTGTGCTGGAGAACACCACCACTCACCACGGGGTGATTGAATAAACACCGTTTGGTGAGACCGGATGGAATTCAACTTTGAAATCTGTGTTAGAGAAATCGCTTTTCACAGGCAATCGGTGATAATTTTAACTATCAAAGCAACAGTTGCACATTCGTGCAGTTTTCAATAGTGACATTTTGAAGAATAATAAAGTCTTAGAAATATCTCTGATCGAATGGTGATACAATTATTGAAATTGGTCCAGAGGCAGCTGAGTTATTAACGTTCAAAATCTTTCATAATTTTGTAACATGTTCCATTTTCTGTTTTCCTAAAGTGTACCCCCATATAGAAATCATTGACGTAGTCCTACGTCAAAATAGGTATTTTTGAAATGGGCATGATGTCTAGAGAATGAAAATCGATATCCGATACCATTTTGAAATCCCAGATGGTGGCTTCCGACTTCATAAAAAGTGGAAACACTGCCAAATACCCTTTAATATAGGTATATCTGGAATCAGCATTTCGTCTAGAGACCGGATATCGATGTCCGATGCCTTTTCGAAATCCAAGATGGCGATTTCCGATTTCAGAAAAAGTGGGAAATCCTTTCAAATAAACATCAATATTGGTATTTTTGGAATCAGGATAACGTCTAGAGGCCAATCGATGACCGACTGCAACTTGAGATCAAAAATAGGGGCTTCCGATTTCAGACAAAGAGGCAAATACTGTCAAATGCCCATCGATATAGGTATTTTTTGAACCAGATGACGTCTAAAGGTTGAAAATCGATATCCCACGACATTTTGAAGTCCTAGATAGCGGCTTCCGACACATCAATAAGAGTATTTTTTGATTCGAGAGATTGAAAATAGATATGTGACGCCATTTTTAAATCCACGAGGGTGACTTCCGGTTAAAAAAAAGTTGTGATTTGCTGTCAAATGCCAATAAATATGGGTATTTTTGGAATCTTGATAACGTCTAGAGAATGAAAAAGATGACGGCTTCCGACTTACGAAAAAGTGGGAAATACTGTCAAATATCCAAGGGCGACTCTATCTACGATGTAGGAAAAATTGAATTTTGCTGTGGTTAGCTGCGCCAACGCTTAGTAGATAAAAAGAAGATTGAAGACGATTCTGAAGATTTCTTACAAAAAGATGATGCGCGATGCAAGTAGATGCGAGAAATGAAAGAAATTTTTTCGAAGATTGATTCGCTACTGTGAGATTTGTTGAGCATCTAGAATTGAGATTTAGATGTGTCACCCCTCTCGCAAAAACCCATCAATATTGGTATTTTTTGGAATCGGCATGTCGTTTAGAGGCCGGAAATTGATATCCGACGCCATTTTGAAATCCAAGATGGTGGCTTGCTATTCAAGAAAAAGTGGGAAATACTGCCAAATACCCATCAATATAGGTGTTTTTGGAATCGAGACGTCTAGAAGCTGGAAATCCATGTTCGACACCTTTTTTAAATCCAAGATGGTGGCTGCCGATATCAGAAAAAGTGGGTAATACTTATGCCGACCCATCAAAATGGGTATTTTGGAAATCGGAGTGACATCTAGATCAAAAATGTATATGCGACGCCATTTTTAAATCCAATATGGTGGTTTCCAGTAGAAGAAAAGTGGAAAATACTGTCATTTAACCTTCATTTAGGTATTTTTTTTAATCAGGATGTCGTCTGATGTTGCTGAAAATTGATATCTGACGCCATTTTGAAATCCAAGATGGCAGCTGCCGATTTCAGAAAAAGTGAGGAATACTTATGCCGACCCGTAAATATGGGTATCTTTGGAATCGGGGTGACGTCTAGAGATTGTAAATAGATATGTGACGCTAATTTGAAATCCAGGATGGTGACTTCCGGCTTAAGAAAATGTGGGAAATACATACTGTCAAATGCCCATCAATATGGGTATTTTTGGAATCTTGATGACGTCCAGATAATGAAAAAGATGGCGGCTTCCAATTTAAGAAAATGAGGGAAATACTGTCAAATACCCATCAATATTGATATATTCTAAAATTGGCATGTCGTCTAGAGAAAATAGAAACCCACAGCTTATGAGATTTTCACTAATAGGGGCTGTGGTAGATTATCTCATTTGCTTCAATATATAGAGCTATACTGTCTTGGACAAAGTTGTTGTGCTGGGATAGACCAACAAGTCTGTGTCATTGGATTCAGGTTTAATTGGGAACTACGCCACTAGAGGCGCTTCACTTTTATGTTACTTATGACGGGCGCTATAATGTAGTTTACGTTGAAGCAAAGGCCACCATATTTCATTTCAAAATGGCGTCTAGAAACGATATCCAGCCTCTACACGTCATCCCCTCTCCGAAAACACCCATAATGTAGGGTATTTGACAGTTTTTCTTGAACCGATGGATTCCAAAATGACTTCTGGCATCGATTTCAGGCTTCTACACGTCGTCCCCTTTCTGCAAATATCCATATTGTAGGGTATTTGACAGTTTTTCTTGAACCCATGGCCGCCATCTTGGATTAAAAAAATCGATTTTCAGCCTCTACACGTCATCCACTATCCGAAAATACCCATATTGTAGCGTATTTGTACGGTTATTCTTGAACTGATGGTCGCCATCTTAGATTTTAAAATGGCCTCCGAAATCGATTTCTGACCTCTACACATCATCCCTTTTCCGGTTCCTGTCCCCACATTACTCAGCAACATCTTATATGGACAAGCTTTCCACACATAACATATTAAGGAAGTTCATGTGCACACTAGCACTGCGTAGTGAAAGAGTTCTGAACATCCGAAAGAACTTGGTGACTTGAACAACTTTGCTCAAGACAGTAACTTTCTATATAGCCAGGATCACTAAGTATTCTATGTTGGACCTAAGATCTATATATTATAGCGCCTGTCATAAGTAACATAAAAGTGAAGTACCTCTAGCGGCGTAATTCCCAATTAAACCTGACTTTAACGACACAGGCTTGTTGGTATATCCCAGTACAACAACTTTGTCGAAGACAGTATAGCTCTATGTATTGAAACCAAGGTTGCAAAGACTCATTTCAGCTAAAACAATGTTTTTCTAAATTATGAAATAATTAGATGCCATGATCAAATTTTGAATTGGTAGGATACAAGAAGAGGTTGCAAAGAATGTGTTTGACATATTAAACCTGTTTATTTCACTTCATG